AAAACACTCCATATGAAGTGAAAATGCTGAGTATCACCATATTTTAATTTAATTTCTATCTGTATCAGGGACAAATCACATCACTCTGCTAGAGCTTCAGTACACTACACTATTACAGATTCAGTAAATGCTTGAAATATGAATGTGTAAATGTTCTGTTGAAACTTCTTTAATGTGAATCTTAAAATATTTTAATTAATATCTTCTCAATTCAGCTATATAAAATTCAGTTGTTGAAAATGTAGGTTAAAAAGTCAGGTGGAGTGATTCAAGGAAAACACCCGGTAAACTCAAAAAGAGCTAAATAAATGAAGCCTCCCTCTGTGAGCTCACAGGTGTGTTGTGATTGGACAAGATTAAGTTCGATTAGACTCTGGCTTGTTTGCTCTTTCTGAGTAATCTGGATGTTTCTCCCTGAATCTCTCTACCTGAACTCTCAATACCTGAATTTCAGACACTTAAACTCAGAACCAATATATTCAAATAACTGAAGATTCAAGATTTCAACCTCACATTTACACATCTTAATTTTCAAGCTTTACAAATTCAGGTTCTGCTGACTCTGATTTTACTACATTGATATGCAATTAAATTGCACTACAGTGAAATGCAATTTTGCCATTAAAATATTTCAGAAAAATAATTTTGCCAATTTGTACAGTGTATTAGGTCAGTATTTTGCAACACCCCTTTTGCTTAATTCATTATAATTTCTTACAGATGATAGAAAGTCTCACACATTATATTCACATATAACACAACATCAAGACTGTAGTTTTTCATAAATAAATCCATTATGCAATAATATTGTGGTCATATTGCCATGTGTGAAGAACAGAAAGACAGAAAGCACTGAATATGATGAGGGATTTTTATTGGATACACTTTATTGTTTATAATTGTATTGTTTACACTTCAGATATATTTTGAGCAATATACTTAGTGTCATTTGGGAGGTTTGCTTTGTCTTTCTGTCCAGCATAAAGGCAGTGTCTCTCTGATAGTGTTGTTGCTCTTCCAGATCTTGCCTTGATTTCCATAGTTCACCTTAACAGCCATTTCTTACTGACATTTCAGACAGTAGAAATTGTGATGTGGAAGAGATCTGATGTCATTTTATAACCTTCATCTGCTTTGTAGGCATCAATTAGCTTCATTTTCAGATCCTCAGTCAGCAGCTTACAGTTTTCTTATTACACTCTGGATTTATCTTCAGATGAAAATCCCTAATGATAATTCTAGACCTGCTTACAAGTCCTAACGACTTCATTAATTTCAGAGACTTTACAACTGGAAGGGTGTCTAAAATTTTGCATGTGCTATAATTACTATTTTGAAAATTGTAAAAGTTTATATTTGATTAAGTAATTGAGTATTAACAGTTGTATAAATATATCATTTTTGAAAATAGTTTCCCGCAGAGGTTGTGTTTACTTCTTTTCAATTCAAAAGTCAATAAAACAGAATTTCAGCAGGTTTGCACAGCTTTTGCAAAAAACTGTACAGTTACACTAAAAAGTCTTGATTGAAGGCTAAAATGTATTTCTGTAACTTTAACCTAAATGTCTGATAGTGGTTCTCAGTGCTATATATGGCAGTGATCTAGTCTGTTCTACTGGATACTAATGATGTCACGATACCAAAAATCTAGTAGTCGGTACCGATACCACCAAAATACACGATAATCGATACCACGGTGTGGTTAAAAAATAAAATAAAATAAAAATAATTTTTAAAATAAAATTAAAAACTCCTGGAGGACATCCTCCTCTGGCTGATACTGGCAAAAAGAGAGAGAGAGCGAGAGAGAGATATTTTAGTTATCAAACAATGACTAATTACAAGTGCTAAGGTGCACTCCTAAAGGCGTGCACACACCCCTTTATACTGTGAATGCAATCATTAGTTTAAATTCACTGATATGGTGTCAGGAAAAAAAGATTTATTAAAACCATTAACAGTTCAATAATTATTTGTGACATTAGGCTACATTTTGCTGACAGGACACGGGCTGAATGGTGATGCATGGTGGCATATTAGGAGGTAGTTTATAACATCGAAATGTGTTAGCAGCGTTAACAAATACCCGGCTATAACAAACATTACACGGAGCATAACATTAGCTTGTTTCACGGCCACAATGCCAACTGCATCAAGCAAACATAATATAGGACCATCCATCAGGTGCTTTGCCAAATTCCAGGTGTTTCCTCGCTTTGTTTGAAATGAATGAGTCGGGCGGAACTAATTGTGCGGAATGAGTCGTGCGGAACTAAGCTAATTTTCTGTAGTGTTCTTTCCCTTCTTCACCACTTGTGCACCGACTGAAACACTTGCGCGTATTTGCTGCCCCCATCAGTTCCGTAAAAAATGCAACCTCGGCACATTCATATTACCATTGATACCCATGCTACTGCAGAAAAACAAGTACCATCATGTTTTAACAATGTTGGTACCGACTTTGTACCAAAGTATTGGTTCTCATGACATCCCTACTGGATACCCAGTAACTGTAACATAAAGACCACATTTAGTGCATAAATTAATTTCCACTCTGATGGAAAATTGTCTGTTTCAGTTTAAACTGATATTAAGCCAATCTCTGATTATTAGCTCTATTAGATCAGGTTGTTCACTAATGATTGTGTGTGTCATTTGTAAACAATCATTCAGCTTTTTAGCTCTCAGTATCAGTGTGTAGGTCAGATGTCAGTGTCTGTATAATACTAATGACAAACTAGACAACAGCATGATGAATATTCTGCCAGCGATCACAGTCTGTTGTGTTCACTACACTATGCTCATGATGCGCATATATCTATGTGCTATTGCACTGTAAACACACAGTCTAATCTATTTCATCTGCACAATCAATATATTATTCATGCAGCTTAAAGACATCGCTATCAGAGAAAAGTGTTTATACTCACGTATTCATAAATCCTGTGAAAGTAAATAATACAGTGTTAAGATTTTATGCATGAAGCCAAATGTGAATTGTTCCATGTGAAAATGTGAAAGTAACTGTTACTCTTGTTAAAACACAGCTGGTGTGTGTCTTAATAAAAAAAAGAAGAAAACTAGACAACAATCAGTCATCACACACAGTAAATCTGTATAATGTAGCATTGTGCTAATATACTGTTAGATACCCTTAAGGAACAGAAACATCTAGTGATTTATGGGAACATACTATTTTATGAATGCATGTATTTGTCAATATACATTATGTCAGTATATGTGGTCTTGACCACTGCAGTGGTCTTGACCACTGTGCTGCAGCTCAGTGTCAGGGTCTTGGCAATCTTCTAACAGCCTAGGCCATCTTAATATTAATTCTTTTTTTCAGATCCTCAGAGAGTTCTTTGCCATGAGGTGCCATATTGAACTTCCAGTGACCAGTATGAGGGAATGTGAGAGCGATGACACCAAATTTATCACACCTGCTTCCCATTCACACCTGAGACCTTGTAACACTAACAAGTCACATGACACCGGACAGTGAAAATGTCTAATTGGGCCCAATTTGGACATTTTCACTTAGGGGTGTACTCACTTTTGTTTCCAGCAGTTTAGATATTAATTGCTGTGTGTTGAGTTATTTTGAGGGGACATCAAATTTACACTGTTACACAAGCTGTACACTCACTACTTTACATTGTAGCAAAGTGTAATTACTTCAGTGTTGTCAGGTTAAAATATATAATCAAATATTTACAAAAATGTGAGGGGTGTACTCACTTTTGTGAGATACTGTATGTGATAAATTTATAAAATATCAGCCGCTACCATTAGTGTGAAGTCGAGTTCTTTACTTACCCATGCTAAAGGTGCTGTGTAAAACAACAGAGAGAAATTAAATATTAGACAAAATACAGTGACAAAAGATTGATTTACAGTCAGAATAGCTGCTAAACAATTTTCACTCTGTACAAAGATGTTCAGCTGCAATTTGAATTTTATTTTTGTAAAATATAACAACAAATAGTGAATCATTATAAATAGTTTATATTTAAACAATTAAATACTGGAGTGTTTTTTCTCAGTGCAATAACACATATCTGTGATCTTTATAAAACGCAACTCAACAAAGATATAAAAACCTCACTACAGCTGCCTCCTTTTCTACAATAATATATTAGCTGTTATGAAGGAAAGTAAGATCATCACTGCTGTTTCACTAATCAATTTTCTTCATTTCCTGCTTTATATAAAGCTGCTGGAAGCAAGAACATTTTGTAACGTGGGTTGTGCTACTCTTCACTGTGTGGATTAATATAACAGCTGTGAGTTCGATGGAGTGAAATAAGAGTCAGTAAAACCTCAACCCCAATTTGTGAATCTTTAAAAATGATGACGATATTTGAACACTCAGGTTCTGAATTTAACTGACTAAAATCCAGGCCTTAAAAAAATTATTTCCACAATTTAATTTAATTTAGAACACAGTTTTAAAATTAATTTAGTGGACTAGATTACCTTAATCAGGCTGGTCCAAGCTTAGATGAGCAGCAGTTTATCTAGCCAGAATTTGGTGAATAACATTTATACGAGGATGTGAGTTTCTATGACTATCATATGCTAAACCAGGGCTCAATTTCAAACAGAGCATACTATTTGTAATCTCTTCTAGAAAATCTGATGTATTGTTAATTGTTCAAATAGGTGTAATTAAAAGAGATGTATTGTTGGTGAATGAAACCATGGTTTAGCATATGACTGCAGCAGAAACATTTGTGTATCACAGCACACCTGTGAGCTCATGGTTGAGGACTTCATTTCTTATTAAAACCCCATATACAATAGCTCTTTCTGAATATACTGGATGTTTTCCCTGAATCATTCGAGCTGAATTTTTAAGACCTGAATTACAAATAGGGTTTTTTTTCTCATCATTTTATTTTTTTAAATAGGAAGCTGGGGTCAGGGTCAGCCATGATACGGCACCCCTGGAGCAGAGATGGTTAAGGGCCTCGCTCAAGGGCCCAACAGTGGCAGCTTGGCAGTGCTGGGACTTGAACCCCAGACCTTCTGAATCAGTAACCCAGAGACTTAACCGCTAGGCCACCACTGCCCAGATGTGAACCTCTGCAAGCTCACTTGAGCCAAATGAAACAAGGCCTTGAGACATTATATAGAGAAATTCATTGTTAGAGATATGAAAATTTTTTACGGTGTGTTCAGAGTTACATGTATATAGTGAGAAATTATGCACATTGTTCTGTATGGTATGTAAATATCATTAATAGAGAATTTGACAAGTTGTGAATTTCTGACTACATGCTTCCTGGAGATCTTGTTATTGAACACTTCACTGTGCAACAAATGATCAGACGTGTTTACTTTTGTAGCTCCTTCCATACTCACCAATGCATAGAGCAGAATACTCCATTTTCATTCTCTCAACTTTTGTCCATTTTCTGGCTCTCTGTGGAAGTGAATAAAACTGTGTGAAGGTTTTCTACATGTTTCCATACTGTATGTAAATAATGTGTTAAATAAACATGAAGTGTTTCTCTGTTTCAGATCAGTGTGTGTGTGTGTTAGTGTCAGTCACTGAGAGTTGATATCTCCAACAGGACACGCTGAGCTGATTGGGGCGGATTTAAACTGATATAGTATTTAGTAACACACTGAGTTTTAATGCAGCCAGCTGAAGAACACAATCACTAAACCATAAATAACAAACCTGGGCTGCTGTGTTTTAATAAACCTCATGCATATGGATCCTTATTCTGTCCCTGAGAGCCCTTTTTTATATAAACATAGGTAATGAAAGATTTGCATCTCCATCATAGTGTGAGTCTTTCACTTGAGCATTTTCCTTTCATGTCTATTCTTTCATGTCATGTCACGGCTATTTGGCTTTAAACATTTGGCAAGATCATAAACAAGCCAAGGAGAATTTATTATTGTTAGATTTAACAAACTACTGTTTGATAAATCTGTAGATTTTTCTGTTAGCTGAGAAGAAGGCTGACCCATCAGCTTCGCTAATAACTGAGCTAATGCTAACCATAACAGGTGAAATATAAGATGTTGATGGTGACTATTCGTACTCAACACGGTCTTTTCTCAGTGGATGACGTACCATGTTAGCTTGTTGAGATAACATTAAGAACTGAAAATACCTCTCAGCTGTTTCTTATTCTAGTTAAATTTATTGATCTCTGAAAAAGAAACAGCAATACGTCAGACATTTCCTTGACACCAAAGCAGCATTAAGGGCTCTTGTGCTTTACAACAGTAACACTCCAATAGAAAGGTAACTTTTTTTCATTTGTTTCTCTTGCTGATTTAGGAAAACTCAGTGATAGCAATACAAATGATAGCACGTGTGAGAATACATTAATATTTATCTTTGTTATGGAACGTAGTGGAGTCGGATGCAGGCGCAGATCTTTATTGATATTTCAACACAATGCAGTCTTCACATGAACACAGGAAACATAGCATGAAGCTCAAACATAATACGGCACGACCGCTACTAACTGTCCAAAATGTCCTTCGCTGCCATGGGAGGAGAGGCAGCCTCCGTCGGGCAGCGGCTGTGCATGGTAACTCCTCTGCCGGGGTTGACAGTCGGGCGCCCCCCCCAACGGCTCAGGAGCGAAGAGCACTGACCCCGGTGGCTCTGGAATGCAGGGCACCACCCTCGGCGGCACCGGAACTGGAGCAAAGGGCGCCACCCCCGGCGGCACTGGAACACTGGGCACCGCCGACGACTTCCTCGATGGCGCAGGACTGCGGGGCTTCCTCTACAGAGACCTCCCCGTAGGCCTCAGGCTGGATCTCCCCAACCAAGGCCTCCCCACATAGGCCTCAGGCTGGATCTCCGCTGGATCTCCGCACTCAGGGACTTGAGACGGGACTGGGATGCCCGGGGCTTGAGACGGGGTCTGGACTTGGACATCGTGGACTTGAGACTTCGATTTGACCGAGTCTTCCAGCTCCTGCATATTGGCAGTTAAATCCTTATTCTGGCTCTCTAGCTTGCTGCTCAGCATGTCCACTTGTGCATATGTCTTCTTCAATCGGTCATTAACGAGTTCAATGTTGCCCTGTTCCTCATCAAGTTCCTCCTCCAGCTGAGAGATACGAGCCTCCGACCTCCGCTTCTCATCCTTCAAAGCAGGTATCTTGGAGTTGCAGCTGGTCACTTCATCATGCAGCTCATCTCTCTCCCGCTGAACCTGCTTCTGACTGCGTCCAGCTGCAGACAGATCCTCATGTAACTGCACATTTTCAGCCTCCAGACCTTGCGTTCATTCTCTTTGGCGCTGCTCCGTGCTGCATCTCTCGCCGCTCGGAGTTCCTCCACATCCCACAACTGATCCTTTAACTGAGTCTGTACTCTCTTCAGCTGTCTCAGTGCTTCATCTCGAGCTTCACTGGTCTGGTTGAGCCTCCCGCTCAGACAGGTCAAGCTCCAGCTTATTTTTTGCTGCTACAGCCAGAGCTTTCTGCTTCCTCTCATCCTACAGCTCTGCCCCCATCTCATGCACCTGTTCCAATTTCTTCCTCAACTCTGACATCTGTGCCTGAAAGGAGTGAAGCTGTTTCTCTTCACTCTTCCTACTCTCTTCATCCTCCTCCAGAAGCTCCTTTAGTTGATTCTGTTAATCCTCTAGTTGACAAAGCCGTGTGCTCAGAGCCACTTTCTGGCGTGTCTCCTCTTGCAGCAAACCCTGTGTTTCCTGTAGTTGTGACATGAGCTCCCCTTAGTAGCTTTGACGTGTTTCTTCTCCATTTCAGACAGAGTGCTGCTCAAACTCTCCAACTGCATTTTGTTCATTTTTTCCGCCATATCATTCCTCTGTTTCTCGCTCTGCTTCAGTTGGGGCTCCTGCAGCTGAGCCTCGCCTTTCTTCCTGTGAGATTCTGAATCTTCCATACTCTGAGTGACTGTGACTGGAGCGTGAGGCTTGATCTTGTTTGTTGGTTGATTTTCGGCTTTGGTTGGGGCTTGGTCGTCAGCTGCGGCTGGAGCCTGGACTGGAGGCCTGACGGGGGTTAGGACTCGGCTTGGACGTATCTTGGCAGGGCTGTGGGACAGCTCTCCTCTCTCTTCGGTGGCGGGGCTGGTATAGAGGGCGCGGGGGGTGCCATGGAACGTAGCATATCTCGCAGTTGTTTCTGGTCGGCCATCATGCGTTTGAGCTGAGCTAGTTAAATGTAAATGTGCACTTATATAGCGCTTTTATCCAAAGCGCTTTACACTGTGTCTCATTCACCCATTCACACACCAACGGTAGCAGAGCTGCCATGCAAGGTGCTAGCTTGCCATCGGGAACAACTTGGGGTTCAGTGTCTTGCCCAAGGACACTTCGGTATGTGGGGTCACCCGGGCCGGGAATCGAATCGCCAAAGATTAGTGGACAACCCGCTCTACCAACTGCGCCACATCCGCCCCTCATCGAGCTGTTTGCTGCTTCCCAGGAACAATGCGGATGGTGGCGTGGCGCATGGAGCGGCTCGTTGCAGCTGTGTTAGTTGCACGACCTGAAGATGGAACTGCCCCAGCGCTTCCTCCAGTGCCCTCTGCCTCTCCTTGAAGACCCGGTTCAACTCCTACAGTATGTCCCCCATGATCTGCTGCGTCCGTATAAGGGCTAGCGATTCCGTTACGGAAAGTAGTGGAGTCGGATGCAGGCGCAGATCAACAGTCTTTATTGATATATTTCAACACAATGCGGTCTTCACATGAACACAGGAAACGTAGCATGAAGCTCAAACATAATACGGCACGACTGCTACTAACGTGTCAACATATTTCAACCACTCTGAAAGGAACAGAAACATAGACAACTACTAACTCAGGCACTTAAATAACGACGGTAATCAAACAGAAAGCAAACACACCTGTGTTCAGTTATTGTGAACGCACACGCTAACCCGGAAGAGCGCGTTCCCAAACAGTCATTTCAAAGGAAGCGCCACAGCGACCTCTGGCGTCTGTGACATGACAATCTTTGAACAGTATATTTTTTAAATTGCAAATGCAAGCAAAACTTTCACACTGTAATGCACGATGTATGTATTTTTTTATGTTTATTAACTCATTAAATGCTATAGGCTACTATCTAGTGATTTTTTGAGTACCCTGTAATAGGTAGGTGCAGTCATCCAACATACAGTCAGGCAGCATGATTTGAATGGTTTTATACAAACCTTCAACTGTGTTCGAGGTGATATCAGTAATTAGAATTGACAGGACTTAGACACATTTTCAGCACTAATACTATATATGTCTCAAACACCACACAAAATACCAATAGATTTGGATTCAGAAAGAGAGACATGTTTCTTCCTTTTCAGCCTTTGATTTAAGAAACATGCATTTCACACATATTCCTGAAGTATGGGCACTATCCACACCATAATTCCCCTTTCACCTCTCTGAATCTTTTCTATATACACTACATGGCCAAGAGTTTGTGGATACCTGACCATAACACTCATATGTGCTTGTTGAACAACCCATTCCAGATTTATTTCCCCTTTGCTATTATAATAATCTCCACTCTTCTGGGAATGCTTTCCACTATATTTTGGAGTGTGGCTTTAAGGGTTTCTGTTCATTCAGCTTTGTTTTAAAACAAAATCTTGATGCAGCAGATTGTTCTAAATGAGCCCAATCTGGCAACCATGTGATTAACTTACTTGTCTGCTCTTCCTTCTCCACTGAAAATATTCATACTGTGATCATCGGGCAGGAAATACTATCATTTGTGACATAAAAAAATAGGTCATTTATAAGGAATTACTACATTATGAACATTAATATTTGTTAAATGCCTGATATAAACAGTGGGTTTTGCCTCTCCTATCCCAATGGATGAGAGGCCACTGGTATTAAACACACTCTTTAAACGCTATGTGTTTCTACAACAATGAATAAATATTATGAACACGTTAGCATGTGTGAAATAAGTTTTTACTGTGGGCCTGTTAACATGGTAGCTCAGTGAACAGTCACCAGCCGCTGGTTTAATTATAACAATTTAATCTTCTTTATAAAAGGCTGCTATCATCAGTAAGAGAGTCATTAACCTATAATAGTTCATAAGAATTT